CCCCCCCCCCACCCCCCCCCACCATAATCCATCCACTGATGCAAGAAATTCCATGACGTTAAAGTCTGTTGTGGCTGACAATGTTCAGTCTCTTTGTAGTTCTCTGGTTTTGTTCTACTCGCTGGTAGCCTGCCTAACAGGTTAGCTGTCAGGCTTTTGCAGAAATCCTTGACATCATAGATCTTTCTTCTGGAAAATATGCTGCTTACAAGTGTAATCTATGTTTATAGGAAGCACAGGAGTGTCAAAAAAGGTGACAAAATAACGGAAACACAAGCAGGAGGAGAGTAAAATCTATGTAAGAGCAAAAATGAGGAAGAACACGGCAATTGATTTAATCTGAAAAGTGAATTACTTCTGTGTCCAGCTCTGCATTTGGCAGCAGCAAATGAACTCTTTTTCCTTCCTCAATATTCTTGCTTATTTCCAGAACACGTATTAGACGACTTGTAATGAAATTCTTTTCTGTCTGGGTGTGGTACTGACTATGTACTTCAGTTTTCCCTCTTTGCTGAAGGATTTATAACATTCCCACTTACGTTTCCCTTTACCTGAGATTATTACTGTTTATAGGTTTTAGTGTCCCTTTTAAGTAAACTAGGAGGGATTAAATCATCTAGATTTGAATTTAGCCATGTTCTCTAAAAGTCCTATCCCGAGTCTTGGATTTTACTTATTTATTTTGAATGACACGGCTCAGGTCTATTTTGTCATATGTACCAAAATCTACTAACAGCATTCAGTTTGCCTTCCTGCTGACTGCTAGAAAATCTTACAAAGAAGTGTGAATTGTTCAGTATCGTTGCTTTTCACCTAAGGATTTACTTGCTATCTTAGCTTATTTGTGAATCCTCCTCTTCTAGAATTGGAATTTAATGGAAAAGCATAATCTTTTGTAATTTAAAATTTTCCTAAAAAACATTATTAGATGCTTGTAGGAGAACAGTCAGCTCAAGTTAACACAGTAATTCCTATAGATGATTCATTTTTCATACTTAATAAGACTTTCTGTGCTTACTTTGTCTAGCAGTAGTGTATGAAGTCATGTTGCACCTGTTACGCTGGTGGAGAGCAGCATACATGTCCAAAAGGACACCACAGAATAACACCCCCTGTAAAACTAAAAATGAAGAAATGTATTCAAACTTTGCAGACCTGCGTGATAAAGACAAGTTATCTAGCTGTATTTTGAACGGTCCTGGTAGGTCTGCAATACTGAACTCGTCGAACGCATGGATGTTTGTGAGGGTGTAGTCGCAGTGGCATACACAGTATTTCATTTTTATAGCGATGGTTCAGTAAACCTATATGTATGTTCTGATACAGTAGTAGAGATTTGTGTACACGGATACCAAAATGATGTGTACGGGAAGGTGAGTGTCACTGTTCTTCTGTGGGGCAGGTGAGGTATGCTTAATTTAAATTAGTTTCCCAGGGTTTCAAAGCTGAGAGATGAGAAGATTCAGAAGTAGAAGCCAGGTCTCCTGATCCCGGTGACCGGAGCCCACAGATTAGTGCGTGCTACAGGACTGGGGATAGTTCTCTGGGTGTGCTCTTTTAGCCTGTGGATAGATGAAAGGTGATTTGAATTGGAAGAGCAGTCTTTTGCTGAAAGCTAAGATCCCTTTGCTGCTGCTGCCGCTGAGGACATACATGTGGACAGTTACTGCAAATCATCTGCCACGTGATAGTTTTACCCTGAGATATTTTTAAGTAGGACCGTGTCACAGAGTCTTTGTTGGTTAAACACAGTGCTTTCTTGTTACAGAGCCTTGGCTTCAAGACCTAATTTATAACCAGCTTGTTTTTATTAATGATACATTTTTTTCTGCCTTTTAGAAGAACACTTACTAAAATCTGTTTTGTATACCCTATCTTTGGCTATTTTTCAGAAGTTAGTATTTCCAGGAATTGTACTTTTTTTGACTGGCGGAGAACATCTTGTTGCAACTAGCTGATATTCTTATGAGCTTGGATAATTCCTTTTAAACGTCTGAAGAAATTTTGTTTAGAAAAATTAACAGAAGTTATAAATATTTGAGAACCACAGCTGTTTGCATTGAAGTTGCACTGGAATGCCATATGTTTGAAAGAGCATCACCCTTAGTCATAAGACTTCACATACAGGAAAGGGGAAGAAGCATAACTCTGTGCAGAAGAGTTAATAGAAGCTTTTAATTTAATATACGGACAACTAGATATGATTACAACTTGATTTTTTTTTTTTTCTAAGCAGAGTATTATGAGTGTAGGGTATCATGGCTGAAATTGTAAACTAAGGGAATTCAAAAAGTTCTTTTACACTAAGTTGTGACTCTGTGATCTCATGAACGTGTAGTGTGTTTGTGTTTATCCACAGCCAGAAGTCAGGAACAGTGTGGATAATAATACTGTCATTTGTATAGTTTGAATATATTTATGTACTGGCTTGCATTTTTTGGAACAATGAGAAAGCCATGTGGTTAGCAGGAATTTTCTGTAAAAAATGTATTTATTCAAGATTCTCTGGCTTTATTTAATAACAGGAGCAAGGAGATGCATTTAAGGTTATCACAGCAGTAAATTCTGTGGAGATACTTCTCAGTGCAAGGGTACATTAGGGGATTTTGCTGGAAACAGTTGTTAAATCTTTCCATTTGTTTACATCCATTTTCCAGACAGTATTCAACATCGATCCTCCAGAAGGCACAACAGGTTTCATGCCACATCAGTCAATATCTAAATATTAAAAGGTATGGGATGCTTTGTGTTCTACATTTTTCCTCGCTGGCACTTAATATTTGTGCTTAGTGTATCCAAGACTCAGAAGAATGTGGATAGTATAGCAAATGATGATGTTGATTACAGGGAGCATATGTAAGTTCTTCCAGGGGGGGGGGAAACCAACAAAACCAAAAAAAAACCCAAACCACAAAAAAAACACCAAAGGACCTGTGGTTAGTTTAGGTTCCAAGGAAAAAGAGGAGCTAAACAGTAATTTTTAAAGAAACTAAAATGAAATTAGGGAAGTGCAGCAAATGTGAATTACTCAAAACTTTGATACTGCATATTATGCAAGAATTGATGTGTTCTTCCAATAATCTGTTCTCTTGACTTTAGTTTAGCCTACTACCAAGCAAGTATAGTGAAGCCACTCCCCCCTCCCCAAGAAGTCCTTATAATTTATTTAGAGTTTGGGACTTATGGGCTGTGATGCTATAATGAATTTTAGGAACAGATCTTTTTTTAGATAAAAGGTAACTCTCATATTAAGTTTAAGACTTGATACTATTTTTGTTGTCAAATGAAGCAAGTCTTTCTAATGCAATATTTTTTTTTTTTCCTAGTCTGCATGTTTTATTCTGGTGGACAATACCCAAATAATTGGGTTCTTTGTCTCTGCTCAGGGCAGCCCATGAAAAGCTGCTCCCACAAACTGATTCAAAATGGCTGGTTAAATGGTGATATGCTTCTTTGCTCCTTGTTAGATACGTTATGAAAGACTGGAAACAAAATAGGAAAGACAGGAAATAATATGACCTTACTAACACTATAAAAGTGACACTAATTATGTTAATTACCCTTAATATGGACTAGCTTTTTTGAGGGATGAAGAACAAGTTCATTCCTGTAGCCATCTCTAGAAATGTTTCTGTTATTTTCCTTCAGGTACATATTCATCTGGATAACAGTAATCAGAAGAAGAAACAAAGGACAGATCTCTGGAATTCATCGTCTGCAAAAAAACAAGGTACAGGACTCTGTCTTGGGAAGGCTCATGCAAAAGCTGAATTGAAAACTACTCAACTGCTCCTTTCTGATTCAAATAAGAGAAAACAATTGAAGACTTCCCCGTCTGCATTACTTCACATCTGTGAACAGGGAGTCCTCTGGCAAATTTTGGAATGTCATTGTAGGATTTTGAGTGAAACACCACCTATGTTATCTTAAATGTTAAAAATGACTCTGAGGAATAAAGGGCTGAACAGAATAACTCAATGAGGGCACGCTCCGGATCTGTCTGTATGCAAAAAATTTTTTAAACCCAAATGGCATCGTAGTGTTCCTCATAGAGCTGGAAAGTCTTAAGTGCGTGATTAGTATGCCTTGTTGCCATGGCCCAAGTTAAAACCATCAGTAGATGTGGGATTGGGAAAGACTTTTTTCCTCCACTCAGTTAGCAGAGAACCAGTGGGTGGTTTGGCTGTAGGGTTTTTTTTGGTCGTTTTCTGTAAGATGAAGAGACTTGGAGCATTAGTGTTGCCCCAGGGCTCTCTTTCTCTAGAACAGGGTAGGTTTTTAAGGCTTTGGGACTTTAAGTTTGAAGAATTCTAGGATTCTTTGAGGGTGTTCCTTTGCAGTTTTATGTGTCCAAGTACAGCTCCATTGTGGATACAATGAGTGGAGGAGGTGCTTTTCAGCTTTATAGTTACTTCTAAAGGGGAGGTGACATAAGCAATCTCAATATAAAACGTTCTTGTACCAGTGCTGCTTTGTGCGCTGCTGGAGTTCTTCTAGTGCAATTATTCCAGTGAAAGAAAATCATCTCCATTATGGAATGGTTGCTTGTATTGGTGTACAGGAAATCTTCAGACCAGCCCAAGAATGGGAAATCCTCCTTCAGGATTGACGTTGAGGTTTATGAAATGTTCTGTTAGCCTTGTATCAGTTACATTTCTCGGTATAACTGTGTTGTGTTAAACACAAAGTTGGTGTTGCTAAGGCTGTAACTACTTTTTACAAGAAGGAGATTCATGTATAGATATGATACTGAAAATGTGTGCCAAAGGTATTATAAGAGTAAATTCCGTGAAAGTTCTTAGTCTCCGTTGAAATTACTGATATATAATGGAGGAGTGATAATTGGTTGGCTCATTCTGAAGCTCTGTAGTGACGGTTCATGTGATGTGCCAGAGAAATAACACCTGAGAATGTGAATTCTTAGCCAGAAAATGCCATGACAGGTAACAGCCTCAGGGCACTGTTATCTTCTCTGAGATACAACCTTTTCTGAGCAACTTCCTAAGTTCCTCAGGGCATGTTGTCACTTCTTGATAGTTTCAGCCTCAACTATACTTTTCAGTCCTCCTTGTTCAACTGAGATTTCTCCCTCTCCTTGTCTCTCTCCTCCCACCTATTTTGTTCCTTATGCTCTGCAGAGCTTGGTATCTGGAACTACCTCAATATAACCATGCTTCAAAACAACATATTTACAAGAAAAGAAACTTGGCTTCTGAATCAAAGGCTTATCCTAAGGCTCCTATAAAGCAGCACCAAGCTTGGCTTTGTTGGACTTCACCATTCATTCTTTCTGATGGTTTTATTTATTTTTTAATAAATACAGTTAGGTGGAAAACAAAATATTTTCTGATTAGAGAAGACAGATGCAGATCCCTTTACCTAAGCCTTCTCAATAGAATACTTTCCAGGATCTTTGTTAAATACCTTGCCTCATAACTATCTACTTAATTACTCAGTTAAATGCTCTTGAGAATGTAAGTATTTGTTTCACAGAAATCCTTTTGTTAAGGACAAAAGTAACATTTTTTCAAAGAATGAGTTTCCACGAATTTAGTGGTTTTGCACATAATGTAAGTATTTGTTTCACAGAATGCCTTTTGTTAAGGACAAAAGTAACATTTTTTCAAAGAATGAGTTTCCACGAATTTAGTGGTTTTGCACATAACGACCCCTTAAGTGTTTCCACAAAGTAAGTTCTGTTCTGTTCCTGAACAGAAGCATGCTGTTTGGTAATCTGCAAGTTTTGTTTTCCTGAGATATTGCTCAACTGGAGTTTGAAGTTACAGGAATAATTCTAAGTAGATTTTGTTAAATATAGAAATGCTTTAGGTTTATTGCATATTTTGGAGGATTTATACACAAAAGCAATACAAAGCAGTCACAGAATCTTTCTGTGATTTAGTAGACACATACTGATATATTTCTTTTCAAATAAAAACAGTATTTGCAAGTACCTGTGCAACAGACCAGCAATTTGTTGAGACTTGCACTATGTGCAAACCTAGCAGAGGCCAGACAAGACGGATCAAGTCTCCAGTTTCCTGTAGTGGTATAGCAGATTGTTTAGAAATAATGCAAAGCTTTTAAGCATAGCTGTTTTCAAAGGATTTTGTGGAAATTATTCACTCGAGCGTAATTCTCTACAAACTGTAATTGGTGAGAAGTGGCATAGCTTGGGATAACTGAGGAGATTACTGCCCTAGCTATCTGTTCCGTGCGCGGGTGCCACTTAACAAACGCAATATTGAACTGTTGCAGTTTTACATTAAGATAAAATGCTCTTGCTCTTGGTTTGCTCTAAATCACCATGTTGTAAACTATTAGCAAACCATTTCTCCATAGATTAGCTGTCCTTGTACCAGGAATGGAAAAAGCTGCTGCAGAGATCTACTCTGTGTAACATCCAACAGTTCCTGCTGGTGAATGGGACCTTTAAAATGGATCTAATGTTGTTAAGCTTAAAGACATAATTGCAGAAACCAGGCTAAAAATGTACTACAATTCCAGCTTCTCCAAGAACTGGGCAACCGGTGCCCGGCAGTCGTCCTGCAGAGTTAGAGAAGTATATTTCAAACTGAGCATTGGCGAGGCAAATGTGAGTTGTTGGTGTTTTCTCTTCTAGGCCATCCCATATCAGCACAGTTTGCTTTTATGCTGGGATTTCTTAGGCTCCTGACATAAGTGACTTTGCTCTTGTCTGTAGATACTTACTGGCCTGTCCATATACAGATCCTAACTGTAATTTGCACCAATTCTTAGTGTGAATTAAAGAGATACAGAATTTGCTAAATTTTGGAATGTAATTCTTCTAAAATCTGGACACTGTCTGGATGGATTTGCCCAAATGAGATGAAGAGATAAAACTTTAGCTTAAAATAAATGTTCTCTTGTAATTCTAAGCAGTAAGTGACTCACTGGGCACATATTACTGGGGATTTCCTGAAACTGTCAGCTCCTTTTGGAAATACAGTCTTTGAATGAAGTGTGTACATTTAAAAGACATCCACATGATATGTGGATGCTAGGATTTTTTTTTTTACTGAAACTAATCATGCAAAACAGAATCAGAAACAAAATCTAATGTTTCATTTGGCTGGTCTTGTTCTTGACATAGATGATTGTTTCATTCCCTTGTTCCTTTGACTGTCTCTGAAAAGCTGATGCAAAGTTTTCAGCAAGACTACCAATGGTACAACTATAAGCTGAGCGATGAAAGAAGTGACTAGTGTGATCTATCCATTTTTCTTTATATCCTTTCTGTTGATAATTCATAGTATGCCAGATTTTCAGTGTCACGCACGTTGTATATCCACTTCCCACAAAAGATTTGAGCAGAAGTTGAAAGGTTTGGCAGTTGACTGTGGGGAAAATGGAAAGTTTAGGTGAAAGGTTTATAGCCATTGGAAATTCCTGATGGAGAAGGGGTTCTTCAGTTTTCAAGCAAGAGCCGGGGGGAGGTTTTTTATTTTTTTTTTTTTTGGTGTTTTTTTTTTTTTTTTTTTTTTTTTTTTTTTTTTTTTTTAGTAACTTCAGTCGTTTGTCCTTCATCCCAGTATTCTGCAGTTCTTCTACCATGCTTCCCCTTCCAGTTGTCCTTGACAGCAGGAAGTGAATCAGTGGCTGGAGGACTGAGTAGTTTTATCTGCTCAATCTGCCTGTTACTTGCCGACAAAAAGATCTGATGCTCTGTCTTTTCTATAACCATCTTTTGACTAAAAGTATGATCTACTTAAGGTGCGAGGGAGCAATGACCTTTTAAACTACATTTTGAACGGGCATAGTAATTAAATCTGGGAAGGAGCAAGGCAGAACATACCATACATCTGGAATTTTAGCTTCAGATGCTGGCCATTTGACTTTCAGAAGTTCAGATGCAATGTGCTATATGCTAGTCATATTCTAATTTTTCCACTTACAGACTTGCTTCTTAGTGTTTTCTCTTTATTTGATACAGGAAAGACCTTAAGCTATTGGTGTTTCAGCCCCGGATACAGCATGCATGAGCTTGTTCGACAGGGAGTCAGGACAATTATCCTTACTAGTGGGACTCTCTCCCCCCTGTCATCATTTACAATGGAAATGCAGATGTAAGTACCTATATGTGTGAACAGTACCGTTACTCAAAATTCACAATCTGCTCTCGTGATTTTAGGTTTTATCTCAGGATTTTTGAGTGCTCTGGACTGGTAGCCCATAGGGAGTCATATAATGAGTATGACTGGGATCTTACTTTTGTGTTTCTTTAGCCCTTTTCCTGTTTGCTTGGAGAATCCTCATGTTATCGATAAACACCAGCTCTGGGTTGGGATCATTCCTAAGGGACCTGATGGAGCTGTGCTTACTTCTACCTATGAAAGAAGGTAATGAACTTCCAGGTGGAATTCTGCTTTGAAGTCTTGGGTTCCGACATTTTGGGTTCTGCTTACAGGAGGGCGCTGGTGAAATAAGCGATCTCTCTAGTTCTTGGATAAACACCACCGTGTGCTGAATAACAACACCCTTTAACCACTACTGTTGAAAATTTAGAACTAGAGGGCTGGGATCAAATGCCAGGGCACTGAGAGCACTGACAGTCCTTAATGGCCCTGACCAGCCTCAGCTGGGACCTCCACCCACAACCATCGCCCAGGAGCTCCACTTAAGGTCTGGCATAGGCCTTCAGTCACTGCCCAAGCTGTAGGAGTACCTGTCTCCAGCTCTATCGTAACCACGCCTGGCCACAGACCTTGTTGATCTGACCCTGACCTACTGATTGACTTCCCGGTTTGACCTCGGACCTGCCTGTCCCTATGGACCCGCCTCGCCATCCCTGGACTGTGACACCCCTTACTGTCACTGGACCTGCTCCTGGTTTACTGACTTGCATTCCTGGCTTGACCTTGGACCTTCCCCATCACCATGACTTTGCCTGATGATCAGGACTAGTGATTGAGCCCGGCTACCGCATCAGAGTCTTTCCTGCTTGCCTTGCTCTGTTAGTGTGGGTCTGGCTGGCAAGACCCCTGCCCTGCATGCCTTCATACCATGCTCAGGTACCACCTCCCTGTCCCTTAGAGCAGTCCACCCTCACTGACACAGAGCCTCATCCTAAATTTCTTTGCTGAAGGCTTAATTGATTTGGAACACGACTGGCCTTTGCAACAACTATTTTTATATTTAAAGCTTGTCACCATGACCATGGCTCTCTTTTACCTCTGCATTGCCTTCTTAAGGAAAATGTATCCAAATATTTGTCAAGCTTTTCATCATAACTTTTCTTGCTTTTCTCTGGTCTTTCATCATTTTGCCTGTGTCTTTCTGTCCTTCAGAGTAGACAGTGCTTCTGCTGCAGCTTCTGCTGCCAACAGAATATACTGCCAGCAAGGAAGGCCAAAACTTGATTTCGCTGTATATTGACTTCTGTTGTGCAATATGATAGTCTCATTGGCATCTCTGCATATAATTTTAAAAGGCAGTTTCATGCTTTGGTGCACATGGCAGAAGGTTCTGTGCTTGCCAGTTCTCTGAAGTTACTAAAGAGTGGCGTCGCATTGGTGCTAGTACTGTGTCTAGGGATGTAATTCTTCTGTAGTATTTGAGGAGCAGTTCCTTGTGCATGATGCGCGTATTCTTCCATTTAACTTTCTTCATGTAGGACACACGTTTTTATGTGTTGGCACGTTCTTAAATCTATTTCAATTTCAACACTTTAGACAAACCTCTGGCTGAGAATTCTGTAATTTAACCTGCTGCGGGCCTGACTTACTCTTTTTCAGCAGAAAATACAGGAAAATAAAAAAATAGATCTCAAAGAGCTTTTAGTGAAAAAAAGGGAAAAATGCCAGATGTTCCACAGAACTGGAAAGGGACTCAGCAATTGTAACTGATTTTTACAGAGAAGTAGTAGTCTGGAAAACCCTCAGACTGTATTTTTCATTTTCAGAAGCTTAGTGTGCCGTTTCAGTGTATTTTGTTGAAGATACTGTCTTTTGAAGGGGGACGGTTGGGGATTCCCCCTCCTAAGGCCTAGAACACTCTTTTTTTTTTTTTTTTTTTGAAGGAAGGGAATTCACAGTGGTTGCTGTGTTTTGACAGCGTCTGTGTGGTGATAAGGTTTTTTTCCCTTGCGTATGTAAGTTTCCTGGGAAAACATTATGCAAAACTACAGGGCACTAAAAAGGAAAGAAACATAAAGGCGTGCGAGAACAGTCAGGGCTGGAAGAAACAGCTAAATACTGCTCATTGTAGAGCAGTACTTTTTCAGTCAAAGCAAAAGTAATTTACTTGGCTTATGCCACGAGTAAATAATAACCATAGTAACCAAATTCACCTTTTCTGCCCCTGCAGCCTCACCACACCTAATTCATCAATAATTATTTTAAATAGTTGTCATGTTAGTCAGGCTTGGCAGCATCTGCAGATTTTTCTGACAGAACTATCACCCTTAAATTGTTAGTATTAATCATAAAACTCATATGGCTGCCCATTTCCGCTTGTTACATTTTGATAATATTGAAGCTTAGATCGTCTTCAGTGCTAATAATAAGAATATTTAACAGTAATGTGTAGTCAAGGTATTACTGATTTTGTGTCCTTGGTGTGGGTGCTTGCCACAGGAAGGAGAGCAATTGGGAGTATGGATATGCTATTTTAGATGAATATCAGAGGAAGTCAATATGTATGAAAAACATAAAAAAGGAAATACAATGATGTTACTTGATTTTTCTTCTTTGTAGGTTTTCAGAGGATTATTTATCTTCTTTGGGGAAAACAATTGGTAAGTGAAGTGTGAGGATTTCGGAAATGGGTAGTTACACAGGATTTTTAGAAATCTCCTAGAAGGAGAAATACTAAAGACGACATAATAAGACAGAGAAAGGTAAGGGATCGCATTGCATATCTGAATGCTGTCTGGTTTTGTATGCTTCTGTTTGCTCAGGCAGCTGGCTTCTGTAATTGCATACAAAAATGAGTTTGAGTCCTTGGTTTAATACTTCCGAGGTAGGAGTTCATTTTTTATTGTCAGGTGTTTGTGATTGGGTCAAAAATGTGGTTCCTAAACAGCGTCAGAAAGTGGTGCAAACTAGAAAATCAACGCGTGGAGACGATGCAGCCAAGAATCGTTTGCAGAGCAATTAAGGGTCACAAGAAGTCAATGCAATTTCTTGTGATACTCTTAAAGGCACTGTGTCAAGCCTGCCTTAAGTCAGCATTTATTGTTTTGGTAATGTTTTACAAATATAATAGAACTACAAAATTTTAACACATGAGGACAGAGTAAAACTAGAAAATCAACGCGTGGAGACGATGCAGCCAAGAATCGTTTGCAGAGCAATTAAGGGTCACAAGAAGTCAATGCAATTTCTTGTGATACTCTTAAAGGCACTGTGTCAAGCCTGCCTTAAGTCAGCATTTATTGTTTTGGTAATGTTTTACAAATATAATAGAACTACAAAATTTTAACACATGAGGACAGAGTAAAAGAAGAGCATTTGTGTAGCTTGGCTAAGATCTGATTGAAAGGAATCTGTTAAATCTAGAAGTGTTTGAAGGAAATGGAGGAGAGTGCTCTGAGGTGTTCAGCTTGGCCTAAAAGGTAAAATTAAGAAAATGTTTTCACAAAATACCAGATTAATGTTTTTTCAATAAAGTGTATACTATTTGACTAGAAAACTCTCAAAAGCAATCTTGTGGTACCTCATCCATTGCTTTGAATGTTTAGTGGACAAAGAGTGGTGAAAATGATCTAAAAATAGATCCTACTGTCACAAGGGAAAATATGGCAGATGATGATGTATCTCTTTCATCTATAGTGTTTGGTGTAGCTCATAATATCTTTTATCCTGTTAACACTACATGTTAGAAAGCTAGTTAGGCGTCTGTATTAAAGTTTATTCCTTGACGAAAGGTAAGGGATCATGATGTAAAAAAAAAAAACCCCCAAAAAACCCCCAAAAAACCAACCAAACAACTCCTAATGCACGAACATTCGTGTCAAGAAAGCAGAAAAGATTTTGGAAGGAACCCATGCTGTTAGTTTATATTTTCCTCTGCGGTCCGTGTACTCCATCCCAGGATGAAAATGCCCTCAGCTCTACACTCGCCTGTCTCGTTGCAGGTAACCTTGTGCGAGTTGTACCGCATGGACTGTTGGTGTTCTTCCCATCGTATCCTGTCATGGATAAGAGCCTGGAATATTGGAGAGTATGTTAGTTGCTCTGCCTTTATTAGGTGGTTTGGTTACGCACGTCAGACAGTTTGTAGTTATGCTATCTAACCATGCTCATTAAAAATTCTTTGTTAATAAGTAAATTATAAAATCTGGAAAGTAAAAACCCAGGTCAAGCTGCTTTTATTTTCATCACAATACACTGAAATGCAGTGTTGTAGAAACCAAACTCAGAGGAATCTTAATACATTATCTCATCTGATCTGATCTCAAAGTTCATTTAATTTCACCAGACTTCTCTTTATTAAACCTCTGAATTATAGTTGGTCTAAGTGTTTCAACTCTTAGGGAAAAAAACCCAATGTGAGCATTTCTCTTTTTATTTTTAATTCGTAACTGTTGCAACTGTAACTTTTGTAACTGCTGTGCTCGTGACTTGAGTGTCCCTGGTGAGACTCGGTAGAACAGTTCTATTTTAAATGCTCCTCCTCCTTAAAAGTGAATGCTGGGCCAGAGGTGGATGTTGGGAACTTGCAAGTTGGAAGGAAAAGAAACAGATCTCCCATCTGCGTAGTGTCTGAGTTGCACCAACTGCAAGGAGTCACCGTTAGTGTTAGGATTGCATGTTTCTGCTTCCATCTCTTCCTACGTTTGGCAAGAGAGGAACAGACCGTGTTGGGGAAATCTGTGGTGACCGCTCCTGAGCATTTCCTTTCTCATGGGCGCTTCTGGTGCGTGCTTACTTTCACATGGCCATTTCTGATATGTTCATAATCTGTTTAACAGGAGCATGATTTTGCTAAAAGAATAGAAGAAGTGAAGCCAATGTTTGTGGAACCCAGGAACAAAGGAAGCTTTGCAGAGGTTGATTATTTGCATTACATACCTGTAACATTTTCAGAAACTGTTTTTAAGTTTAACTACCTTCTCTAAGATGTGTTTGGGTGTGAAAACACATTTTATCCTAGGATAAAATTAAAACTCTGAGTGCTTCTTTGAAGTATAGTTCTGTGCATCCTTCCTTTACTCTTTTGGCCGGTTGTGCAGGGTACACTCTTCATTTGAAATCCAGTGATGTAACAGCGGCTAACATACACATGTACCGAGTAATCGAGATGGTAGAAAGCTGTCACTTCAATAGTCAGCATCTTTTAATGTTTGGCGGGACATTTTCTCCCAGCTTGTCATGCTTTGGGTGTTAAGGAATTGTGCAGTGTCATCTTGTTTATTTATAGCAGCTCTGTTTACTTCTTAGAGTAAATTATATCCTTGAATTGCTTTCCTGGTTTGCCTATTTTACTCAAGGATCTGCAGAAACACAGGACAGTCCATGTTTTACCTTCTCATCAGAAGTATCTGACATTAATCTTTTATGCTTACCCAGATGTATTCTAGATTTCACAGTAATGTAAGGATTTTGCTAAGCAAATGGCTTCTCGCATTTGCAATTAGTAAAAGTAATGAAAATTATACTAAGCCAAATTAATCACATTTTAGATCTTAGTGTACAAGTCAAATTTAGCTAGAACAGCTTTCTACTTATGCGTATGCAAAGGATAATACCATTCCTGCTCTTGCTTAAACTAGTTTATCTTTTAGGTAATGGATGCCTACTATGACAAAGTTGTCTGCCCTAAGTCCAACGGTGCTGCTTTTTTGGCAGTGTGTCGGGGGAAGGTAATGTAACTGAGAACTTGTTTTATCTGAGATCAGATTATATAGCTGATGGAAAAACATCATTCTCGATTTCAGTACATTTCTGTTATTTGACTGTAATTATATGTGGAGGAGACCCAAGAGAAGTAAGATGCCCTGAAGCCTTTTCAAAATTATGTCAAGTTTACATATGCCTCATTCCTGTTTTTATTAAAGGGATACACCTTTGAGTTCTTCATAGGGGATAAGCATCACACATATTTCCTGTTGGCTGCTCACCAAAACCTCAACCCATTAGATGAGAACAACAGCTTTGGAGGAGAACTAAAAGAAACATTTGTAGTCAAACATGTTAGAACAACGCTGCTGAAAACCCAAAATATTGCTTAGCTTTAAAAAATTTGCATTAACTTCAAGTCCTCTGGACACATTTGATGGCCTTTCATCTGCATTTTCCAGTGCTGATGATAAATTGATTTATGATATCGGTGGAAATATTTGCAAAATCGTAAATTAATCCTAGGGCCTTTTTGCTGCTGCTTACTGCCTACAAAGAGAAGATTCAGCTTCTTCTGAACCTTCAGTCCTGCTCTCCAAAGCAGCTGTTCGATCAATGAAGGCATAGCTCTTTTTGGGTGGGACTCTCGATTGAATATGCCTGTCCTTCCAACAATAGCGTATTACCCTGAGAGGAAGAGACTCTGTGGAGAGATCATGCTTTGCAGTAACACACAATTGAAGGATAGACTGTTTAGTTTATTGTAGTCACAGGGTTAACAGTATGACTGCAAAATTGGAATTATTTGAGAAGATAAACCAAGAGAGACATGTTGTCAAAAGCTCTAAAACTAGCTCCCTTCTCAGCTGTCACTGCAAGATTCCCTCCCAGGTTGTTGCTCAGCTTTTACATTGGCAGTAGGTTCTAGCAAGCTTTTTGTGTTCTCTGTTCCCTGAAAGAAACTTTAAAAACCAGTTCTTTTTATAAAGAGGAGATTCTGTCCCAGTTGCTCTGGTTCTTCTACTAGCTGTATCTAGGCCTGGGGTGTCTTTAAAAGTTCACAGGAATTTTCTTTCCTGTTTTGAGGGGGTGAAGGGCAGGTTTGGGTTTTGGTTTGTTTTTTTTTAATTAGTTTTTTTAATTAGGGGATTTTTTCTTGTTATCTAAGGTTGGTCTTCTCATGCTTTTATTAGCCTGAGGGGTTTCCTTTGTGCCCAGGATAAAATGTCCATAAATACAACTATCCAATTGCTAGCTCCAGGTGGATTACAGTGCATGTTGTGATTGCTGCTCTTAGTGGCAGTGCTGGCTTAAGCTGAGTAGAGTTGGTCATCCCACCTGCCCGTCCATCCCTGATGTTATATTCCATCACAGCTGCTTGTGCGGCATGGTAAATGCGATTGGAGAATGGATTCAGCTGAAAAACAAACCAACTTCCCCCCCTGAATTATTTTTCCAGTCTGTTCAACTCTGATTTTGTTCATTTCACAAAGTGATTTGCCAGCACAGCACGGGACGTGAGCACGTAGGGGGGGATGAGCGACAAATATTTGAACCGATGTAAGCAGCACAGCTGGTGGATATGACACTATAGTCTGGTGGATTCTGAGCAGATTTCTGGTAGCATTCCATTATTGCTTTGAAATTATTCTGTTCATTTTTAGTATCAGAGAAGTTTGCTATGTTCTTATCATGTCTTGTTAACAATTCAGGGTATGGAAGGTTTAAAGAGAAGTATTGACTGACATTTTGTGCCATATCATTCATATCTTTGAATACAGCTGTTCTGCTTATCCAGGAATAAGACACGTGCATTAATGGTGCTGGCTGAGGTATGCTTTGTCAGGGCCTCCTAGAGGAAAAAGCTAAGTTTAAAGTCCCGGTAATAAAAGCAAAAAATCTAGTTGAAACTATTCATAACGTATTCATAAACTACACTTGGCTTGGGATTTAATTTAATGGAGAAAAAAGGCCAATAACTGCTGAATTGCTCTGAAATATCGCTTCAAATCCTGTTGGTAATGGAAAACACTCTCTCTTCAGGCCAGTGAAGGCTTGGACTTTGCAGACATAAATGGACGAGGCGTCATCATTACTGGGCTTCCGTTTCCTCCTCGTATGGAGCCCAGGGTTGTTTTAAAGATGCAGTTCCTGGATGAAATGAGAAGAAGTGGTGCAGGTGCACAGGTAATACTGGGCAACTTTTCACTGTTGGCTGTTTGCGGGTTCGTGTCATTGTTTCTCCCTCTTGTCCCTGTGGATTTTGGCTTTTGTTGTCCTCCCAGCCTCATGGGACCATGAATATCAAAAAGCCAAACAACCTTGGGAGTTTGTCACAAATAGTCACCTTTTTTTTTTTTTTTTTTTTAAACAATGTTAAGGGTTCCAAATTCTGTCTCCAGTGACACGGTCTCAATCAAATATAGGCTCAAAAAATGGTATAAAGTTTCAGTCAAAATCTCTGTATGCTTTGGGGATTTTTGTTTTGGTGGTTTGAGGGGTGGGTGTTTGGTTTTGGTTTTTTTGTTTTGTTTTGGGTTTGTTTTTTTTTTTCTCCTATTGCTTCAGGCATGAGAATGAATGACATTATAAATTTAGTTTATTGTCCTGCAGGATAGCTGTTAGGTCTTAAATAATATGGTGCGTCTATTGTACTACCAAGGCTGTCAGTGCATCATATACTAAATAGCTCCTCAAGCTGGATATTACTACTTGAGTTTTCTGTGCGCCATAAGTCAGGTGTGATATTCGAGTCAACCTGTATTTGGCTTTCCAAAGCTTTCAGAGATCTGTCAGATCTTGTTTGATACTTTTTTAATTTTTTTAGAAAGGAATAGTGACTGTACAGCACAGAGAATACGTTTTACCTGGTAAATAACGTTAATTCTTTCTCCCACCTATTGCAGTATTTATCTGGGCGTGAGTGGTACAGTCAGCAAGCTTCCCGGGCTGTTAATCAGGCTATCGGCAGGGTCATCAGACATCGCCAAGACTATGGTGCTATCTTCCTATGTGACCACAGGTGAAATCTTGGCTCTAGAACATAAAGATACATCAACATCTTTATATCCCAACACGGGTATTGGTATTTTGTATATGAATGTGCTGACGTTACTGTTTGGAGAAGGCCACAGTTCGTAAGTAATTAAATTATTTTATATAACAGGTTATAGAAGTATTGTACTACTTTAAGAAAGTAACTAGACTGTTATCTTCTGCTCCCAAAATATACTGTCTTGGAGCTGCAGAAAGAGATCAATGGTATTAATGCAAAATAAGCCACTTTGTTGGATTCATGTTCGTAATGCTACTGGAAATTACGTGATAATAACTTACGGTTTTGCATTTTCTCCATCTCTCATTTGAGAAGGTAGTCACCAACACTGCAGTTTTTTGAGAGAAGGGGGATGAAAATGGGGAAAGATTATATTGCTTGAAACAATAGAATATATATTAATATACTATATTAATGCTATATTACATTAATATCCATTAATATAATTAATATAATATGTATATAGTAGGCAACAAGAGTTTAACTGATAGCCTTCAATGCTGAGGCTCGGCTGGGGACAGTGAGAACACCACAGTTCAGTGCTACGGTTACTGTTGCGCAGTTAGAAATTTTATGGAGGAAAGATAAGAATTGGCTGATCGCATGGTACGTGGTATCAACAAAGCCCTTTTCTCCTGAGTGAAGACATCACCTCATTATATTTACTGCACTGTTTCGATCTTTTGTTGTCTTGCTGCTCTTCCCTTGTCCTTTTGGACCCTGATCTAGTGTTTGTTTAATTCATGTAGGCCAACCTGGCAAATAATTCTCTCTTTTTCCAATCCTGCACAGGTTCACAACTGGTGATGTAAGAGGCAAGCTGCCTTCATGGGTCCGCCCTTATGTGAATGTTTATGACAACTTTGGGCATGCAGTCAGAAGTGTCTCCCTCTTCTTCCGTGTTGCTCAAGAAATTGTAAGTGTCTTAACAATGAAATAAAATAAAAAAATATTTCTTGATCATTTTGGAAACTGGGAATACTAATCCAGGTGAGAGATGTGACAGAGTCACTTGCCTTGTCACTTCTCAACATTGGAAGCCTTACAGGAAAAGAGATAACGCCTCATCTTTCTCCAAGAGTGAGCTGGGACAGGATGTGTTGTCATGCTGTGCAACTCATTAGGTTAGGTCACAAAAATAACTTCTTTTTCCAGTCCCTCCTAAATAAACATAGCTTTCATTGGATGGTATGCAAGTACTGGAACTGATGTTAGCATCAAAAAGCTTTCTACCTCACCTTCAGGGGGAGGGTATGTGTGTGGAAGAATCAGTCAAACCCTTAAATTTAAATCGAAGCTGACTGGTATAAGGAGTGAGTCAAACCCATCAGTTATTATTACAGTTCACCACTGGGTCATCTTTACTAATATGGCTTCTCTCTTAGCATTAAGAAGCTCTTTTTCTCAGTAATAGTTCCCTGATTTAAAAAGTAACATTGTAAAAAGACTTTCTAATTGACTGGAGAAAGTCATAGCAAGAAATGGGCTAGAAGCCAGAGTGGGGAATTCTTTGTCCCCAAAATGGAGATTAAGATTAAAATGAACACTTAAGATTTCACATACAGACTTGGATGACTTCCTGGAACATGCTTTAGCCAAATAAAAGTTCAAAATAATAAGTTACAGATGGATGATACTGGACAACTTGATGATCTTTTCTGATCATAAATGAGAGCCTCATGATAACTAAGAACCACAACCCAGCGTGCTTTGCCAGAAGGAGCTGTGTTTCAGGAATAGCGTTAGCAATTGCACTTGCTGCTCTTCCCTTGTCCTTTTGGACCCTGATCTAGTGTTTGTTTAATTCATTTAGGCCAACCTGGCAAATAATTCTCTCTTTTTCCAATCCTACACAGGTTTACAACTGAGAAGTGAAGCAATTGTTCTTTAGCAGGGCCATGACCCTTTTTCTGCTACACAGGTCACTTAGTGCTAAGCCTGCTTACTACACTTAATCTGTGTCACTTCCTAGGTATTTGATCCCTTTTTTCAAAAGCACATAAATCCCGAATGCTTGACAATCTTGCTGTCAAGGGTTATTCGGGAAAAAGGATGTGTCTTTGGTTGTTGCTGGGATTTTTGGTTGCAAAGGAAGTGCAGTAGAAGAGTAGCTTTTGCTTACTGTAACATTTTGTAAACTGCTTGCAGATGCCCCCACCCCTGCCGCAATGCCCTTCTGGCTCTGCTGGTTCCCTAAGTGAAAGTGATACGTCACCATCTACTTCATCTGAGCAGATCCTCTCCCTGAAAAAAGCCAAAAACTTGGATGACCATGTTCCCAGTTTGAAGAGAAAAAGAAAAGGTAGGTTTGGGTCCTCACAGATATACTTTTTTGTTTTAAGCTGAACCAAAAAAGGAGGAGCAAGAGACTAGGAACTGGAATGGGAGAGAAAGAAGGAGAGCTCAAAGGCTGATGTAAAACTCTGATCAGAAGGGACATAGCTCGGCATTAGAAAATGGGGGAGACAGTTGCAACTACAGAGCAGAGAGGCAGGTGGGGCCTGAAAAGGTGTCCTGCAGAACAGGAGGAGTTTGGTGGGATATCATAGATAGTTTAAAAAATAAAACCTGGAAGTCTGTTTCTGACTAGCACTGACTTTCATATGTCCTTCTTCCATCCTGTTGTATAAATGACTCTGTAAGAGTAATCTGACTAAGAAAACAGAAGAGGGCATTGACCTTGGAACAAAACAGTATTTTAAAATTTGTGGTTAGCTAATACCAAAGAATAAAGTATTTCTCACGTCAGATATTCTTTCAGAATGTTCCACTCTAGATTGCTTGCTGTTTTGGAACAGAACAATGAAGTTGTTTTTAAAACTGTGGTTCCAAAACTGTTATGCCTGAGTGCGAGGGTGATTTCACATTACATCTAAGCCAGTGTGACTGCAGGTTGTCATTGAAGGGGATTAATTTGGCCACCACTTTTTTCTCCCTCAATTTCCAGCCATGCACTTATGCTCCTTCCCTTGATTTGAATCCATCTATTGTGCAACTGCAGAGCAAGCAGATGAGCTTGCTGAACCAATTTACCTTTCATCCATGTGACTGGTAGATCCATCTCAAAGGATGGGCTGGAATGTGTGACTGGAGGTAAAGGGAAGAAGCTGCATTGCCTCTTTTGATACGGATTTTCAGTTGTAACATCAAACTGCACCTGTAATGATAGTTTTGGCTAAAGAGTTTCTTGTACTGACTTTTTAATTTATAGTGTAATATACTTCCATTCTTCTCAAAAGAGTGACTTTTCTTAGTAACTGGCTGTTGAAGTAATTTCACAAAATAGTGGAAATATATTTTGAAGAGAATGCCTTTTAGAAGTAGCAAACTGATACTAATTTAACACTACCTACAACTCTTAAATTCTTATATTTAAACCCAAATATACCTGGATCCTGATTAGTGAGAATATGTGTTCTTGGGACCTGAGGGTGACTGTGTCTGATACCGTGAGAATTGTAGGCTTTAAAAAAAACTTGTTCTGTTTAAAAATAATAAAACGTATTTCATGCCAGAATCTCTTAAAAACAGGAACTCAGCTTTTGGGAAATCCATAAAGCTGAAGTAGTTAATCACAGACAACTGTTGCAGTAAGACTTTTTCCACTGATGCTAAGCCATTTTGAGGTTAAATATGACCATCGCTTAAGTAAAAGTTTGAGAGAAGTCCACCAGGTTGTGGTAACAAATGCTTGAGCAATTTTGGGAGAGATTAACCAAAGCAGTCTTCTTGCTAAGTCATATAGTGCAATTTTGCAAGATGTGAAAGGTTAAATACATCAACACATCTTTGTGGGTTGCTACGTAACGTTCTGAGGTCTTACTAAGTCAAAGAAAATGCAAGAGATAATGCGGGATGTTAATTTGTCATCTGTATTATGCTGTGATGCCAGTAAATGGAGATGGAGCATCCAGCCTATGCACGGAATATGAACAAGAGCTCGTCTCACCTAGAAGACAATGTATGGGGCTCTTGGATGCATTGGAGCGCAATGAGAAGAGCAGCGAAGATGCCGAGGAGGAAAGTGACTTGTCAGGAGAGGAAAAGGTAATGGCAATGGTGTAGCAAAATACTTGCTTATAAGTGAAAATTGTAGGCTGTAAAGCAAAATGAGTTTGGCATTGATTTCAGAGTACCTGTTCAACCCACTTTCAAGAAAAACTCGCTGTGATCGGCGCTGGTAACTGTAAGTTCTCATAATTTAGCTTAATCAAAGGGTTTCTTTGCCATGTTCAACTAGATGACCAACAGGTACAGACTTGTGCTGTGCTCCATAGCTGCTGACCGCAGAGATTTCTGGAAGTTAACTGTGCTCTCTGGAGAGCACAGAGCTCTCAAAGAAGAGGGGGGTAAATACACAGTTCCTCCTGGGTGGAATCTGTGTCAGCACTTGGTATGTGACCAGATACTGAGTTAAAAAAAAAAAGGTGGGGTGGGATGTTTATGAATTAGAACTTGCACTTTCAGGTGAAAATCTTTGATTTGCCTCAGAGAATGAATATTGCAGACTTGAAGAATATCTTACCTGAATCAAAAATCCACTATTGCATTAAGATCAACAAAGCTCCGTCTGTGCTGTTCACTTTCTTTCCTCTCGGATTGGTACATCAGTGATTAGGCTGTGTTCCTCTTGCTTTCCCAAAATCCCTGTTTGCTGTTGTTGGTGGGGTAGCTCCATTACGTGGCTACCATCAGCAGGAGGATTTTACTGCTAGCTCGCAGAATTGGTTTGGCTGATGACTAGTGTGTGGACTCCAGGAATGCTTATTGCCACATACCTAAGGAGTTTGCTTAGGGGAAGAGTGCCTAAGGGAAAGTGTGGAGGTGTAAGGAGTATCTGGGGAATATGTAAGGAGGCCTAAGGGAGGTAGATGGAGACATACAAAACAAAGGGAACGTACAAACTTGGAGAAACGAACAAGGACAGAGAATATTTGTGTTCAGCCGATTGAGAAATTTGCTCCGTCACCCACGGGCTGCCATGGCGTAGACACCAGAACTTATTCTTTGGAAAGCCTGGCACATCTCCAGCAACTTCGTAACTCAGCTACAGTATCTTGTTAACACAGCTGCACTGCTTTTGGCATAGTTCAGCATTTCCCTAAGTCAGATAAGCTGATGGTCCTAATGGCTCGGCAGTGAGTCAGCTCGTGTCCCGCTTTCTATATTCGGCATTACTGCTGATCTGTGGCTTGCAGACATCTGGGGGGTCATCCTGTGCTGCACCTAAATTGATGACCCTGGCGCCAGAGACCTGGGGAGTGTAGTCCTGAGACATGCAGTGCCTCTGAGGGAGCCAGCTTTCACTCTGAGTCTAGTAGTGAGCTGATTTTAATAAGCACTGGATTTGGGCTGATAAGGGGGTCGGTGTGCTTTCATATCTTTCTTCACCATCCATCATAGTATCTGTGTTACCATTTTTTTCTTTTATCAAGGTTATACTGTACCCTTGTTCCCTAAATAATGGAAGTTTAGCTGCTGTCATTCTGAAACAATTTGCTTGGGGTGAAAAAGAAGAAAAGAAGCCTTTGTCATCTCAAAAAATCAAAATACAAGAAATAGTCTCTCAATCCATTTAAAGAATGATTTGACAGTTCACCTTAATCAGTTTTCCTTGTGAGATACGCCTTATGGAAACTTGTCTTCAGAAGCCTTATTTCTTCTGGATCATGCTATTCAAGGTGGTGCCTTTACATAGTCCAGATTAAGAAGATGGTTTTTGATTGTTTTTCTGACTTACTGCGTGTATCATAAATGCTTGGCTTGCTGCTTGTATTCCAATTCTTCATTCCATTACATGATGCTTAAATAAAATATATTTAAATGCGCACTTAAATCATGGTCAGGCTTGTCTGGAATTCAGTATCCTCGCAGTATTATGAGTGCACTGAAGGTTGTATTTCTGAGTATCAGCAACTGACTCTACGAACTGCTGAATCTGAGGTTATTGGCTTAGGGTTTTGTTTATTTTTAGTGGTGGTGTTTTAGTTGTAGTTAGTTTAATTTGACTCTGAAGCTTTGTGATCTGAATAGACATCTTTAGAAGTCACAGCGGAATATAGGGGTACTGTTATGTTTCACTAGTTCCTCTCACAAATGAACAACACTGTACTGTAAATGCACTGATAATCACATTGTTGCTATGAAATTCTCTTATTGGGCAAGAGCGAAGAAATAAATCCCTTCACATACCTGCTTTCTCAACAGGTATGTAGAAACCAACTGGCAATATGGGGCTATCCTGCAGTTTCTTCTGTTACTTACGTGATTGTCTTTAATGTGGTTGATACTGGCTTGATCTAATATTGGAGACTCTGCTATTAAGCAGTTCCACTGCTCTTGCTTATGCCCGCTCACTTCTCTTTTGGAGCTTTGTATATACCAATCTTCCCAGTCACTGCAGTACAAGCGCAATTCTTTGTTGCTGGGAATGGGAGATGCTAAAGAGCTTGTCAAGCCACAACTGTTTCTGCTACTGTCTCATCCTATATGCCCTAATATTTTCTACAAGACTGCTTAGGCTTCCCTTCTCAGTACCCCAAGAAAAGCCTGATACAGGTTTTCTTCAGAAGAGAAGCACTTTCAGGCAGGAAGGGGCATGTGAGGCATTAGTTACACGCAGGTGTGTGTACAGTCCCAGGGCTACCCTGAAACAGTTAGTTGTAAGTCCAGCTTTGCTTAATTGGGAATCTGCACCCTCAAGACCAACTTTGTCTTTAATGTCCTCTGTTTTGGTCTCTCTTTCTGAATTGTCCACTCAGTGATTACCTTCTAGAAACATGTATGTGTCTCAGGCTCTGTTGCAATAATTTAGGTTGACTTGTTTCACTTGCTTGAATGGTGTCACAAACTGGGTTAACAAGCTTTACTACTGGAACTGGCTACATTAAATGGACAATAACTTTGAAAAGCATGTTTTTGAACCTTTCTTCTTTTCTTTTAATCTTCACAGGCACAACGTCTGTCAACACTTTCCCTTCAGTATGAGAAGAGGTTAACAGATGAGCAGAAAGGAGGAAGGAAGAAAATAAAGCTAGTCAGCAATACAGTATGTGTTTTCATGTGTCTGTGCCATCCCTTTGATCTGCAGACTGCTTTAATTTGAATTGCAAATTTCCAGGCAGACAGATGACTCATGCCAGAACAATTATGTTTTTTCTCCAAACTGTAAATATTCATCAGTGCACATCTGCAATCTATTTCTGTCATGCTCTTTCTCAAATCTAGACATCACAGACCTAATCAAGCACAGGTCCAGGTAGGGCTAGTAGGTGAAAAGAATTGTTATCTGGCATTGACTGCTTTGTGAACATCTTCTCCCATTGACCAGCTGTGGTGGGTGGTTTCATTCTTTTTGATTAGAATAGAATAGAATAGTTCAGTTGGAAGGGGCCTACAACGCTCATCTAGTCCAACTGCTGGTAGAGCCTCAAATGGTATTACTGACCAGTTTGGGGTAAGTGATCTCATTCTAACCCCACCTGTGGTGGGTCATTGTTGTGTGTTATGTTTGCAGTTGTGCATTATTGTTTTGCACTGTCTCCAAGCTCAGTTAACTCATTATGCAAGCTAGTTGCTTAAGGGTCACAATAAATCCATGAGAATCCCCAGGTGATCTTTGTGTGCCAGTAGTTGTCTGAGGTACTGTCCTAGCTGGGTGCTGTCTGTCTGTCAGACTCCCAGTCACCTGGCAAACAAAACTGATAAAAGTAGTCACAGATCCAGAAGCTGATAATATCCAAGGTGTGAGGAAGGGAGCAGGTTCATTGCAGAAGGTTGTGTTTGCAGTTTGTTGCTATGTGATGTCATGATGAGTCAGCCTAGCCCTCAAGGTTTGGAGTAAATGTCATTTCTCAATTAAGCCTTCTCCTAAGAATAGAATTGTGCAATGAGACTTGGCTGCCTTCTCTAGGAATACTCCTCTTAAGCAGTCAGTTTTGTCAGCAGAGAAGGTGAATAGCATCGCTCCTCTTCTGTGAGGGAGTGAATGCTCATGGATGTTAGAGGGATTAATTTTTTTAGAAATAGATATAATAATCATCTGGGGAAATTAACAATATACTTGTGCCTCGGGATTGCCCCAGTGACACTGTTTTTTGTCATGAAGACATGTGACAAGGGTCCAACAGCTTATATGTTCAAAGTGTGTGAGCACATTGTAATGCACAGCCACTTTCATAAAGGAGGGGTTGTTCTGAATCTTTTTCGAGTCCCTGCTGCTTGTGATTGTAGAAGAAGAATGTTTCCCAACACGAGGGAGTAATCTGACTTGCTCATGTGTATAGTGTCTTCAAGCATTTTTGTTCCTCTAAGACATTTCTTGAACACCTTCCATTCTTTGTATCTCCTGCTTCAGAGATTCATGTTTTTCAGTTAATTGGACGTTTCCAGGCAGTAGGCCAGTTAGATTTGTGTTTATTCTGTGGCACTGAAGCGGTTTTGTTTTTTCAGGAAATAACACATGGGTACGGGGGTGTCTCCCATAATTGCAAGAGACAGTAACCTATTAGTTGAAAGCATTTATTGTTCTATGCGCTGGTGGAATTGTAAATATATTGCTTCCATCTGAATTCATGTGAGAGTAACTCCTCAAGTCATACTATTCACTGAAAAGTCTTCCTGTCTTCGCAGCAAGCTGATAAGAAAGCAGACCTGACGGAGCCGAAGAAGGCCCGAGCTACATTGTACATCGCAACAGTGAAGGAGACCCTAAGCCAACAGAACTATGATCTCTTCTCTAAGGCTCTTCAGCACTACAAGAAGACAGATGACTTCCATGCTATGTTATCTCAAATGAGCTCCCTCTTCATAGAGGATGAAAAAAAGCATATCTTATTACGAGGTATGACAACTTCCCTAGTATATTTATATGACGTGACCTTTTCCTTTTAAATAGTATACTTGGGTATTTCAGATGTAAGTGTTTTGGATTTGAGGTACAGATCAATCAGGATGATAATCATTAACATTCATCACTTTATATCCCCAGATCACTGTCGTGGTTTAATCTCAGTCGGCAACTAAGCACCACGCAGCCGCTCGCTCACTGCCCCCCACCCGGTGGGATGGGGGAGAGAATTGGAAGAGCACAAGTGAGAAAAAACTCGTGGGTTGAGATAAAAAACAGTTTAATAATTGAAATAAAATGATGATAATAATAATATGATAATAATAATAATACACAAAGCAAGTGATGCACAGT